AGGGGGGTGGAGTCCGTTTGTTGACAGATGATGGCCATGGGTGGAAGGAAGGAATAGATAAGGATGGTCTCATCATGGAATAACTCATGTGATGAAACGAGGAATAGGTCGCCAAGGGAGAATGTGATATTTGAGATAGTGAGATTTTGAAGGTAACCGCAGTAAAGTAGGCATGCCTGAGCGGGCGAATCAGGTCAAAATATGAAATGCAGATTTTCGACAAGAAGCAATCGAATTCTCAACACTCTTGACATCTGAACTTTGCTTTTCATTGCAGATTCCACAACAATCAAGGATGAAATAGCTCAAGCTAGAGTTAAACCTCCTCTCGAGAGTCTTGCATCATCATGACAGACAGTTCGGGGCTCCTTGAGAAGATATGGTTGGGAAACATCAACGAGAAGTTTGAGGTTGATCAAGATGGTTATGATGAAGATACCGTCAATGGTCTCCTCCTCCCTCCTCCTACTCCTCCTCCCTCCTCCTCTTCCCTCCTCCTCCCTCCTCCCTCCTCCTCCTCCTCCTCCTCTCACTTGTCTACTTCCGTAACGCCTCCTCCACCTCTTATTTCTCTTCTTCCTTCCACCTCTTGCTCCTTTTCTATCTAGTTGTGCTGCCTCCTGACGACATCTCTTCCGCAGCGACTTTGCCATGGAGGAGGATGACGCAGCTGCACAGGCTAACGATGCTCAGGTACTGGTTGCCTCTTTCTCTGCCTCCTCGTCTGACCTCTAGCAGGATGAAGTTATTCGCTCTTACGTCTTCGGCATGTTGACCAACTTCAAGGTGAATTCTTCATCCTCTCTCCACTTTCCTCCCCGTCTCTCTTCTCTTTCCTTCCCATCTCTTTCTTGTTTCCTGCCTATCCATCTTCTCTCCTCTCCTCTCCTCTCCTCTCCTCTCCTCTCCTCTCATCTCGTCTCCTCTCCCCTCCTCTCCCCTCCTCTCCTCTCCTCTTTCGTCCTGTTGCTTCGTCACTCCTACCTCTTATCCAATCTTCCTCGTCGTCAACAACTTTCCCTCTTCACTCCTCTCCTCGTACCTCTCAAACTTCTCCTTTCCGCACAACTATCCTCCCAGTCAACTTCTCCTAACACGCATCTATCTTCACAGATGTTACCTCTCGAGCGCATACATAACATGCTCAAAATGTTCGTCTCCGACCCTCCATACACCAAGAAGATCCAGGTAGACCTCTGCACCTTCTGTTTGTCATGACCTGAACATCTGCAAACAGGAACTAGAAAGTCTGCTCAACGCTCTTATCGCATCTGAGAAGTTGGAGTTTGATGGAAGCAATTATTCTTTGAAATCAAGTTAAATTACAAGTTCTCCCTCCTACAGTCCCACTCTTCTCCTCTCCCTCCTTTGAAGCGCCTCCTCCCTCCTTTCTCATCCTCTCCCTCTTCACCCTCCTCCTCGCCCCCTCCCTCATTCCACTTCAACTCGCTGCCCTCCCCTCCCCCCTCTCTCTTCCTCCTCACTTTCTCACTTCCCGTCGCCATATGCCTCCCCCAGCTCCTGCCCCAGCAGCTCGTGAAACTCCAGATACTTCAGCTGGACTTCTCCTGGGATATCTCCTCGACGGGAAGGGGGTTCCTCTAGTTTCGCTCGAGCTCGCAGCGCCTGCATGAAGGAGCCGATGGCGTCGGAGAGCGGTCCGCATGCTACCGCCATCACGTGCTCCTCGTCCACTTGACCCACCTGCCTTGAGCTGAGGGGAGGGGGGGGGGGGAGAAAAAGGAGGAGGCAAGGAAAAGAGAGGGAGGGAGGAGAGGAAAAGAGGTGGGATGAAGGAAGATAAGTGGGAGGGAGGCAGGGGAAGTGGTCGATTGTACCTCAAAGCTCCAGTCGCTTCTTGTAACCCCGTCTAGTTTCATCGTCGCCGCGTTCCTCCGCAGGATCCCATGCGTGTCCCTTGGCTGCACAAAGTTCAGAACTTATGCTCCCCTCCACCTCCTCCTCCCTCCTCCTCCACCACCTCCCTCCTCCCTCCTCCTCCTCCACATCATCCCGCCTCTGTTACAATGCTACACACCAGCTCCGTTCCTGCAAATGGGTGGCAAGCTCCGACAGCTCGGAAGGTGAACCATCAGCGCCTTGAGTGGACTTTCTGTCGGATGCTAGAAACACACTGGCATCAGATAGGAAGAGTCATTGGCCAGCTATCACTGGGGATTGCGAAGAACCGGTCAGCCGAACTCGAAGTCTTACTGCTATGCTGACACGGAGACCAATGGAACTCGTTGAGTAGCGTGCACCAGCTTGTTTAGCATAACCCCCCGACGATGCTGAATGTCC